AGAGAGAGAGAGAGAGAGAGAGTGACCTGCTTCTTGGACGTTGGCGGTGGCTGGCTCGTTCGTCGGCGAGGGCTGGACGTGGACGGCTACAGGGCTGCAGGGGGGATGTGGATGGCGGCTTCCTCGTGGATGGCTGCGGGGCTGCAGGGGGGACGTGACGGGCAGCAGACAGTGCGCCCGCGAGATTAGAAAATGGCCAGTTTGAAAGTGCTGGCCCTGCCTCCCGCCACCCCACCTGAGTCTGCACAGACTGTGGTGGGTCCGGCCTTCGACCAATGTCCGGTAGGGCGAAAAGACGAAAATCGGCCCAGTATTCTTCCGGGGCCGCCGAGGACCCGAATAATGTCCTTGGCGGCCCCTTTTTTTTTCTGATTTCTCGTTGGGGGGCCCGGTTCCGGACGTCCAGGACCGGACACCGGACCCCTGCATAATGTTTGGGGGTGTCTGGAAACCGGTCCGGACGTCCGGTCGGTTACCATGAAAAAACTGAAAAAAAATGTTATGAAGAAAAATAAACTGAACAACTTTTGCCTCAGGGTCACATCGAAATTCTTTACCAAATTCAAAATAAAAATTAAATTAGTTTTTTTTTTCCCCCCTTGGCCCGGCCGGGCAAGTGGTCCCGGGCCACTCAGGTAGCCCTACTGAGTCGATTAGGATTTTTTTTTTTCTTTTCTTTTTCTTTTCGAAAGGTTGACAGTCTTTAGATATCATTGTGACACTGACTGGCCCCTCGTAATTCAGGAATTCCGTTCATAAACGTAGTTCCATATGGGTTCGAACTCAGGTCTGTGTTTCAACAGTTTGAGGGTGTAACCAACTGAGCTAGGGCCGCCGGTTCGATGGGATTTTTTCTTCAGGAGAAAACCATCCATCCAGTACTGGTAGTTAAAGGATCATTCAAGGATCAGACGATCGTCATCAGGCCTTAAAGGAGATCGGTCATTCAAGGATCAGATGGTCTTCATGAAAGGCATTCCACGATACAGACCCCAAATACGAATTTCCGGGTCAAGGCCAAGCCGGCCAGTTCAGAAGGGTCACAGTCGGGTACCTTAGGAGTCAAGTCCAACAGGCACCCGGTGAACAGTCACATCCCAGAGGCAAAGGTTGCATTCTATAAGCAAATGTCACGTCCCATATTGAAAAGTCATATCCCTCAGGCAAAGGACACTTCCCCAGTCAAAAGTCGTGTCCCAGAGGCAAGAGTCACAGCCCACAATCAAAAGCCGTGTTCCACAGGTGAAAAGTCGCGACTCACAGGCCCAAGCAGCAGCACACCAATGAAAATTCGGGAAAGTACCAGGCCTTGACATTCTGAAGCAGACAAGCCGTGGGCACATGTGGTACCAGTACCAAGTCAAGCCAAAAGAAGCAGAGGCTGGGACGAGTGGCAGCACAGTCCAAGTCAATATAAGGACTGGCCAGCCACATTTCGGACAGATTCCTCATTCCTGAAAGTGTGGAAGTGCTGCTGAAGTGCTTGTGCGCTACCTGCAAGTAGCATGCACGCGAGAGCCCTGCCCTGCTGGGCAGCGCTGCGCTGAGAGGGAAGGCGGCCATAGCCGCATAAGTTAGTAGTAGCGATAGAGCTAAGTAGCAGCGGATGTATTCAGGGTAAAGGTTCTCAAGTAGAGAGAGGGAGACAGGAGAAAGGGGGAGAGAGAGAGCGAGCGCATGCATGAAGAAGACCAGGAGGGACACAGAGAGAGAGAGAGAGAGAGAGAGAGAGAGAGAGAGAGAGAGAGAGAGAGAGAGAGAGAGAGAGA